TTTCGACTTCTTGTTAAAAACTTCAAGTCCAATTGCTTTGATATTACATATGTATTCATGTGAAATTTTTACTCAGTTATATTCCTGACAAGTAGACCCTTGTCATTGTTAGATAACTATAGGATTGTTGTGCAAACCATTATCAAAAAAGCAAATAAATCTAATTTTATTTCAAACCAATTTTATACATATAGGTACTACATGTGGACCTCTCTCAGATTTGTTCATTTTCTAATGATATCTTCTGTTCTTTATTTGCCATGTGCATTGCTAACAGCGGAGCTATCTCAGCCGACAGGCTGCTTGTTTTGAATAATTATGTATTTCACTTACAGTATGTACAATCTCCCAAAGACTGTCTCAACCAGAGTACCAGCCATTCTATACCAAACAACTGTATCCACGACATAAACATCTGCTTATCAAGAGATCTCAGAGATGCCGTGTAAGTATCACATCACATATACAACACATAATCCCTGTTTATAATTAGGCCTAAATTATGTAATTGTGTTTTGATGCCATCCATATTAATGATGCATTTCTTCAATCGAGCTCTAAGTCGTGTTCAGTACACTGCAAGATAAATATCTACAGTCAAAACTGTATTAGTGACCACCTCTGTATAGACACCCTCTGCCTATAGTGATCACTTTTAGGCAGTACCAAAGCATAACATATGAGCAACGTGTGTTTAAAGACCATCTTGTCAGCAACAGTTTTGCAGATTAAGTTATGTTTCAAGACTAAAATAATAATACCCGATAGTATTTTGTTTATAAAACTATTTTTAATTTTCTCTCTTTAAACTAAATTGATTTTTTCCCCAAATATTATGTGTTTTTGTTGCAACAGTACCATCTTATTATTTGCTGCACGAATATTAAAGTGAGCATTATTAGTCGTCAAATTTTACTGAAGTCCCTTGGGTGGTCACTATACACTGATTCAATTGTACATTGTTTTCAAAGCATGTAACATTTTTGTTCTTCACATTTTAAGTAATAGAGGAGGTATCAGTATACATAATGGTTTCAATTCAAATGTATGGGTGTTGGTATATTTTTGGTGATTACAAATATGCAATTCAGTGCCGCAGACTTTTTGATCTGAGCAATGCATGCATGCCTGTATTGTTTATTTTGGTGTATTGGAATCATAACTCACATTATTATGCATACTTTACTAATTAAAGAAGATATAGGCTATACTTTCTGCATTTTTGTTTTTTAGCTCCGCTGTCGACTTTGTCGAGCGGAGCTTATCATTTGAGTGATTGTCCATCGTCGTCCATTCATCTTCAATTCTCATTTTTGGTAATAAGTGATATTTTCGACTTCTTGTTAAAAACCACAAGTCCAATTGCTTTGATATTACATATATAGGTATTAAATGAGGACCTCTATCAGATTTGTTCATTTTGTAATGATATTTTCAATTCTCTAATTTGGGTGAATATTTTTGTCATTTTGGTAAAAAGTGATATTTTCGACTTCTTGTTAAAAACCGCAAGTCCAATTGCTTTGATATGACATATATAGGTACTACATGTGGACCTCTTTTTGATTTGTTCATTTCATGATGATATCTTCAATTCTCTAATTTTGGTGAATATTTTTGTCATTTTTGGTAAAAAGTGATATTTTTGACTTCTTGTGAAAAACCGCAAGTCCAATTGCTTTGATATTACATAAATAGGTACTACATGTGGACCTCTCTCTGATTTGTTCATTTTGTAATGATATCTTTAATTCTCTAATTCTGATGAATATTTTTGTCATTTTTGGTAAAAAGTGATATTTTTGATTTCTTGTTAAAAACCTCAATTCTGATTGCTTTGATATTACATAATTTATATAGGTACTACATGTGGACCTCTCTCAGATTTGTTCATTTCATGATGATATCTTCAATTTTCTAATTTTGATGAATATTTTTGTTATTTTTGGTGAAAAGTGATATTTTCGACTTCTTGTTAAAAACAGCTAGTCCGATTGCTTTCATACTATACATATTGTTCATTTTCTAATGATATCTTCTGTTCTTAATTGAAATGTGCATTGCTAACAGCGGAGCTATCTCAGCCGAGAGGCTGCTTGTTTGAAGAATACAGCTGATTTGAAAGTCTGTAGTTTTTAATATTTTTTTTTTTCTGTAGGAATGTGAACACAATCTTAGCAAGCCAGAATTTAATCCATCGTCGATTAAATTCAAGATACAGTTAGTGGCTCTGTAAGTCAAAAATATCAACAATTACTTCATCCGAATATATTTGTAAAAAATCACATTTTCACCAATTTTTAACACACTATTTTTATGGTACTTCACATTGAAAGTCATTAGTCTACCTTGAAGTTTACTTTTTTTTCTGTCCTGGAATTGATTATAAACCTGCTATCAACAAATATATTGGTCTAGCTATATATCCTTGCTTCAATGTCAAAAACATAATCTTCATTGAGATATTATGGACCGAAAGGATATTGACACTTTAAACAGCGTTCAGGTCATCCATTTACGTAATTGTCCTACGGCTTGTGAGAAATGTGTCTTGTATTTTACAAAAGTGCTTTAGAGTAGTTCATTTATATTTGATATTTTGCAGTCATCATATTCCAGAAATGCGAATATTTTCTGTTCCCAATCTGCACTACCAGCAAGAGAGCCAAGTCACTGTTATGTTAGTGAATCCTGTAGAGAATATCACCAATGTCACTCTAGAGGCTCTAGAACCTGATGAAAACCAAGCCACTGCCACAGTAAGTAACAGGGTGTTAGCCAGCCGGGCCAAACGGACTGGCAACTTTGATTTTGGACTCGCAACTTTTTCGCATTTTTCTGATTTTTCCTATTTAAAAATAAAAATATTATTAAAAACAATCTTGTTTCATATTACACATTGTAATTTTGAAATTTATGGAGTCTTAGATTTTAGAACACAATTCTACACTATATGGATACCTCAGCCTCTAAGTTTTGCATTGATGAGTAATTGAAAGATTTAATGTGAATCAGAACATGAATGTTTGAAGCACCTGTATTTCATACACATGATGTATTTACTGGTAATTTTATTACTCTGGATTCTGTATTATTTTTGAACACAAAATATAGGAGCATATACAAGTCTAACTGTATTTGTGATAAAACATAGTCCGCTACAAGTATGATAAATCCTGACCATGCCACTGACATAATCAGTGCAATATTGTGTTATTTCAGGTCATTGTACCAGAATGTCATTTGATCCTTGCAGCTAAGGATGATACAGCGGATTATGATGACAATGCTGAGATGCAAGATTTCAAAGATGATCCAAGGTTTGTACTGATAATCATAAGCTGGAATATTGGCCTGTCCTGCTTTTTGATTGCTTTTAATATTGACAGTTTGATTTATTTCAAAATAAATAAAAATTTGATTGCCGATTTACAACAAGCCTTAACTAGTGATTTTGATCTTGTGTCTATAATTTCATTATTCTTACTGTACATTATTTCGTTACTTGCAGTGTTATAAACTTCCGCAGTGCCAATAAACTTGGTTTCTTTGTGAAGATAACCCCACAGAAAGCAGTTGGAGATGTTATTGTAAGTATATGCACTTTTACCTAAGTCTCAGTTATACTGGTATATTTCATTGCAATTCACAATTAATTGAGTGGTATTTTGACTTCCAGTAGCAATGATTTTTTGCTAGTATTTCACAAAAGTGAACAATTTTTGATTTGAAATCTTTTAATGGATATGACAGCACATTTTACTTAGTAACACATTAATTAACCTGACATGGTCGCATGATTTTAGCCCACCGCGGTGCTCCAAACCCAACACATGCCTGACAGAACGATGTAGCTTTTCACTTCCGCCAACGATTTTTTTGTTGGTACCAATCAAATTGCAGGAACGTCAGATAGTGAGAGCCATCAAAGAGTAACCATTCACTGTTTAGTTGTTTGGTGGCATAATATGTGTTTTATAAGGTGCTGGAAAATTTCCACGCAATGTTTATTATCTTGTTGAAAACAGTCTGTAATTTTTGCCGACAATGCAAACACGCCTTTGTTTGATGGTGTTACCATGACAACATGAATATTCATTGCAAGAACTTAGTGAACTTTGCGAATTTGCAGTATTGATCTTGCCGACAAGACATACACTATTCTGTCAGGTGTTAGCGAGGTCTGATGCCGTTTAGCTGGCCAGGGCCTATGCACACCTACATGGCAGGCTACACATTAATTTCAATATTAAAAGATCTACATAAACTTTCACTATATTGATGTGGTCTTTATAATTTTTAATTTTTAGATTGCTATCAGAGTCAAGTACGATTATCGCAATATAGCCGCTCATTTTGGTAGAACTGATGAAAGCAAAGAAAGTGAAAAGGAGCCACCTATTGTCTGGCTAGAATATGATTGTAATTTAAATGTTGGAAAACTTGTATAGAGTCGCTCTGTTCCCGGAGTCTAAGCAAAACTACTTGATGAGCTACCTGACTGTCATTTAAATTAAAGAGCAGCTTGTCAGGTTTTTCTTTAATGTATCAAATTCTGCCTTGTATACATTTCAAATGTGGTTCTGATCATAACTATGGAAAGTTTTCTCCTATTCCTCAATTCCGTTAATATTTCTTTGATGTATCCGAGTACATACAGTAATTGTGCTGATGTATTTATCAAGTACGGTACATGTCGCTTCATGTACAAATAATCTTTTAGTCTATAAACTATGATGAAAACTCACTTTTGGTATAAGTGCTTCAGTCCATTATGTAAGTTATATTTATTTGCGATAAGATTAAATTCAATATCACTCTACACTGTGTTTTCTATTTGCCTCCCGTGCGAGAAGCCACAATGGGGTGGTCTATGTGTGCCTGTTTCCACTGATATCTCAAAAACCACATGTTTTGATGAAATTTTATGCATACATGCTCATGCTCAGATATTTTTTAGCTGTTCATGACTATTCCTCTAATACCTAGAGAACCACTCATTGCCCTGGGATAATGTGCAGACCTGATTAGGTTTGGGTAAAAACTGTGCATATTAATTACCTAATTTGCATATTAGTGAATTTTTCACATTATAATGAAACTTAGTACATAGATGTCATAGGACAATACACAGCATTTGTGCATATTACCTTATTTGCATAATTAGTAAATTTGTGGCTTTTTGCTGATATCTCAAGTACTTGATACATGGATGCTCTAGGACAATGAACAGGCCAGTTTACTTTTACATTAAAATGTGTGGATATTAATCACTGATTTGCAGCTTTTCCATCAATATCTCAGGTACTTAATTCAATGAATCTTGGTACATAAAGACAATGGCACGACCCAATTAGTTTGAGTTTTGATATACATCCATCATAATTACCTAATTTACATTATAATGAAACTTGATAAACATGTGCCCTGGAACAATACAACAATACACAGACCTAATTAGTCAGAGGTTGAAAGCTATGCATAATAATTACTTAATTTGCATAATTTTTTTTTCTCAAAAAAACTATTATTGTAAAATATTTTATTTTCGCTTGGAATTAATTTTCGCTGAAGGAATCATTCAGTGAAAATAAAACCCAGCGAATATTCCTTTTTCCTATATTTTACATTTGACAAGTCAAAAATCAGTGAAAATTAATTCCATACAAAACACCCAAAAAGTCTTTTCAAGCGAAAATTAATTCCAGCTAAAATAAAGTATTTTACAGTATTGCATTTTAATAAGACTTGTTATACAAGTGCCTGTAAACAATGCATTAGTTTAGATTCAGTATACTAATTGCCAAAGGGGTACCTTAGATTTCTCCGTTTTGTTTTCCTGACAAAACAAACTGCAATAACCTGGCATTTTGTTTTGGGGTTAGCTTTATACTTCAGAATGCATCTGGTTTGCCCAGGTGTGTTTGAGTACATACTGTGAGCAATAGGCTTCATTTCAATTGTAACATATTACCCACAAATCCCTACATAAAGAGATCCCTAACTTTTCTACCATTTTGATACCGAAATCATACTTCATCGATTGGAGACTCAAAATACCAGCAACTTTTGGGGGAAGCTTTTCAGTTGGGACCACCTACATTTCAGTTTTTTAGTGTTACTTGAAAAACATACAAACCTCAAACCCAATAAGCATAATACATTCAGGCAAACACTATACAGTTTCATAAGATAATAAATAATTATTCAATAAAATTCTTCAATATAATATAATAATAAATACATCTCAATACAATATTACTTCATAAACATCAAGCTTACCAGTATTTAAACCGGAATATACATATACAAACATATAAACATAAAACACCAAATTCCAACTTGCACCTATAAGCAGATATGTTCACTGTTGTGCCATAAGATACTGGCCCCAAAAAAAGACAGCTTCAAATAGCCTGTAGTGAATGCAAACTTGCAGTGACTAGATGCACAATTTGAATTCCCCAAAACATTGTACTATGCTCTTCAAATGTGTAAAGTATTGCAAGATCAGAGTACATACACCCAGATACTATTTTAAAGGAGTGCATCATTAAACCATGTGAGAAATTAAAGATAACTGTAGACCTACAAAGTAATATTTTAACAGGCAAGAAAATACCAATATAATTTAGGCTTAAAAGATGGTGGTTGTCAAGTTGTATCATGTTCAACATGGCAATAAAATATACAATACATGTAAAATGCATTGTGATAGACTTTTCATTAGAAGTAGGTAATTGGCCACAATGTCCAGCTAATTCAATTGCAGAATTACAGTTTTCTTCTACCTATATATAATGTACTCTTCCCCTCTCTAAATCTTAAATGTAATAAACACAGTTTACATGACATTTAAACAACGTGCACTGTGACCACCACCCTTTAAAATTTCAAAGTCCCACAAAGGCATAGATGGATCTCCACATTTTACACACGTACACAGACAGGGTAAACATGGAAGTAGAAAAGACTGTTTGTGAACAACTAGAAAATATTAAAATTACATATGCAATGAAATAATCTTAAGAGATAATACATGTTGAACCATATGGACATCGCCAAATGCACTACGAAAATATTACACGAAAGACCTGTATTTGTCCACCAATAATAGTTTCTTCTAAATTCACAATACCATATTGTTGCTCAAGAGTATGGATGTGGACGTGTCTTTCCATGGCAAATTTGCTGATGAAACGTTTGTTACATGTATTACATTGGTATGGCTGTCTAGCAGCATGTAATCTCATATGTGTTTTCAGGTTGTAAGTCTGGGTGAATCGCTTTCCACATTCTTTACACTGGTATGGTTGCTCACCGGTATGTACTCTCATGTGTGATTTCAAATGGTCTCTGCGAGAAAAAGGCCTGTCACATTCTTTACATTTGTATGGCTGCTCACCAGAATGCATTTTCATGTGTGAATTAAGGTGTCCTAACTGCGTAAAACGTCTGTCACATTCTATACATTGATATGGTTGCTCACCAGTGTGCATACGCATGTGTGTTTGCAGGTGTCCTGTCTGGGTAAAACGTCTGCCACATACGTTACATTGGTACGGTTGCTCACCAGTGTGTACTCTCATGTGTGTTTTCAGACTGCCATTCTCAGTAAAACGTCTGTCACACACTGCACATTGATATGGTTGCTCACCAGTGTGTACTCTCATATGCGTTTTCAGGCTACTACTTTCGGTAAAACGTCTGCCACATTCTTTACATTGGTATGGTTGCTCACCAGTATGCACTCTCGTGTGTCTTTTAAGATCGCCTTTCCGGGTAAAACGCTTGTCACATACTCTACATAGGTATGGTTGATCGTGAGTTTCCAGGATGTGTTGTTTCAATACATCTACGTGAATCGCTTTCAATAATTGACACACTTGGCAAAATTCGTATGGCTGCACGTTAAATTGTTTTTCCATACGAATGTCAGGAAGGTACAACTCTTCGCTGGACATTTTGCTGATATTGCACTATATATCACGGCCTGAAAATAAAGAAACAGCTCGTACAAGCACAAAAGACTAAAGCGCTGTCACCATTTTGTGAATGACGTCACGTTTGAAATACTAGTCAAACGGGAGAATAGTACATTGTCGCCACAGGCGGCGCTGTTCCACATTGGGCAGGGAAGTCGCACGGCCATGTCAACATTAATGCACTAGTATTACAGCAATGGAATTGGTCACGTTGACACAACAATGTTTATATACACAAGTCATTTGCCGACGTAATCTTAATTTTCCACTCAAGTTTCATTGTCACAAATGTTTGTTTAGAGCCGCGTGAATATAAAGAAATATTTGTTATATACTAGTACCATATCGTTTGTAACCAAGTCCCTCTGTGTACAAGAAATAAAACTAACTCACCATTGTTGCGGGGGTCCAATTTTCAAACTCTTGTTTTTTTATGTAGAAAATATACCGAACCTTGATTGGAAATCACCGATGGGCCAGTAACAGCATATAAATTCCGAAATATACCTAACTATAACGGGATTAAAAAACAAATCAACCCGGGCCGATTCCCAGCAACATTGACAAAAATGACCCTCGTACAACATTCTGTCTCCCATGGAAACTCAACTCTAACATGATTAGTTGAAACCTCTAGTTAAACGCAGACAATTTCTTATACACAGAGCGACAATATCCCGATGTTTGATAAAAGTCTTATTTATCTTTATAATGCAAACAACTTTGCTAGTAACTCACGCATGCCCTAAGGTGGGGTAAACAACGAGTCAAGTAAAAAAAAAAAAAACGTTGCGCAACGGCCGTTCAAATACATATTTAAAACCTGAGAAACAATTGAAGCAAGTAGGGTCTTATTTTATTTTTTATTTATTCTGACGGTTTCAAGCGGGCATAAGAATTTATTATCGGCGCTGGGAAATGACATTACAAATTCAACGCGATGTAAACCTTACTGTTACGTTACCTGTACAACCTGGTATTTATTGCCTATTCCTTCTAAGTTCTTGGAATGTTTCATTTATTGCGAATTGCATTAAACTGCGAATTAAAAAGCTGATTGTAGATCTACAATAATTGCAAAACTGCGTTCGTAGTCTTATTTGTTTGAACGTGACATTTCCACTGTCATGTGTAGTTTATGCAGATCACTGTGATCATAAAAATAAGTAAAACGAAATAGTTGGCATGGCAACAAATTCTAAATTACCGGATTATTGAAATCACTTCAATTTCATGATTGTTTGGGTAAGATTTCTCATGAACTTTACAAAATCCAAAGCCCTTTATGACTCTTAAAGTCAATGACAGGATTTCTGCAGAAGTATGGATTCATCTTAAAGTGTCGCATTTTGGTTCAATCTCGAGCAACTAATAAATTATTATTTTCTGAGGTTTAATCGGTAACAATTTGATAAATTAGACAAAGTATATCATTATCAGAATGATCATCATTGTTATTATAAATGCTTCATTTACATAAGTGTATTTACTTCACCGATGGAACCTTCTCGCAGTGTATAACGCATCACGTAATGTGATCTATACATACGTCACCATTCGTCCCAGAAAGGCAGAAAAGCATTTCATAAGTAAATCATAATTTACATACTCGTGCCGTGCATATTACCAATGCGAATATGTTCTGACAGTGATCAAAAGGTAACTGCTGCGTGAAATGCATCATTATTGGAACAACTTAAACGTTGCCAGGTAACGTG